CGCCGGCCCCGCCCAGCCGCTGCCCGCAGCCCTGCTCCGGAGGGAATACGAGCGTCCCTCTCCCGGCTGTCCTGCCCTCTGGGTTTGTGTCACATCATCCTCCCATGGTCCCCAGCACCGCTGGCTTTCTTTGACTTTAAAGAGGCAGTTTTCTCTGAGCCACAGTGGCACAGGGGTCGGCAGCGTCCCCTGCCCATGGCCGGTGGCACTGGGCTCATCGAGGAAGGGGAGAAGGGCAGCAGCACCTGGCCCAAACCCACCTTCTCTCAGCAGGGCCCCTTTACAGGGAGTTACTGGGGTTTTACACCGTTACCTGAGGCCAAGCCACAAAGGTAGCCAAACCCAGAAGTATTTCCACGGGCCGTGCCCCAGCTGTGGCTCTGTGAGATGCCACCACGCACCACGGGGACAGGGGGAGCTGGTCCGGCTTGGGAGCGTGGCCTCCAAGGCAGAAAAAGAGGGGACCCAGCTACGCAACCCCCAGAGCCCCCCAGCAGCACTTCCAAGGGACATTTGGGGATTTCTGCTGGAAATCCTTCATTTTCATGGGAAAATGTCAAAGTTTGAGGAGGGCTGGTTTTTTGCTGCTCTTCTAGGGTAAAGCTGTAACTTTAAAGGACAAAGTGGGTGCATTTGGCAAACAGCATCTGGATTAGACCTGAGTTTCCCCCCCGCCCCTTACCTCCGGTGAAGTTCTTCTCCATGTAGTCTATGATCTGGTTGTAATCGCTGATGATGTTGTCCCTGTGGATGATGACGGGCACCTCCTCCCCCAGGTTGAGCCGCATGAACCAGGGCTCCTTGTGCTCCATCAGGGGCATGCTGACGTCCCGCTCCTCGCAGGGCAGCCCCTTCTCCGCGATGACCAGCCGCACCTGGGGCAAGACGCCGGGGAGAAAGGGCTCAGCCCCACGCCCCGAGAGCCCTCCCAGCACCCCGAGAGCCCCACGGCCACCCCACCGCACCGTCCTGGCCCTCCCCTACCGCTTAAGCACAGCTACGTGCCAGGGCACAGCCTCATCACGCAGCTCTTGGCATGGGGCAGCTGCAAAATCCAGGCAGCCAAGAGAGGATTTCCCTTCCCAGCAAATGGGGAAGACCCAAACCCATCCTAATTTCGCGGGAACAGGGACCGTCCTCCCTCTGGTCACTGGTGGCCCATGCAACAGGTGGCTGGAGGGGCTGGGGGGCTGAGAACCCATCCCTTGGCAGCGGGCGGAGGGAGGCGGCAGCTCCCCAGCTGGGGAGAATCAGTGATTCTGCTGTAGGTCCCAGCACAGCCCAGCACATACTTGAGGAGGAAGAGGAGGAGGAAGAGGAGGAAGCAGAGGCCACAGAAATGCTATGCTTTGCACCCAGTGGGTGGTACTGCCCAGCTGAAGGAGGCTTGGATGCTAACTCAGGTATGCCCCGCTCTCGGGTGCGGGCTCTGGCTTTACCAGGCCAGAGCAGGGAGACGGCTCTGTTTCGTGGAGGGTTTCAAGCCGCTGCAGCCTGCACGGCATCCCTCCTCCTCACCCTGCCACCGGCCCTGGGGCATTGCCCACCGCCTTCGCACCTCTGATGCCAAACCCGCTGCCCTCCCCGGCCCCGGGCCAGCACCGCTGGGGTGGCACCCGCCTGTCCGGTGGGTGGGAAAGCCGAGCCCAGCGGTGCGGAGGGGCTGGATGTGGGGCACCGTCCCCATGCCCATCACCCGCAGACAGCCCTCAGGGCTGATCCTGCTGCTTTGCTCGAGATGGCTTGAATACGCACTCAAGGATGGCATTTTAGGCTTCTGGGTTATAAAAACCTGACCATTATGAACCAAGTGTGTCAAACAGGCCAAAAAAAACCCTTGGGGGATGTGAGACAGCCACGATTTACAGAACCGCTGAATGAGGGAAAAGCGCTTGTTTTCCTCCAACTAGCAGCAGCTAAAAATACAACTTAACAAATACAAGCATTTCTATGAGTACTTCAGAGTTCCTGGGGAATTAGTCATTAATTATTTACAGGGATGGCAAATTAATTTTTTCTTTTAAAGTCAAACAAGGAAAAGCCTGAGTCCCTCAACTGCAACTTGCTCTTGGCCTTTTCCTCCCAGCTGGTGGATAAACCCCAGCCAGGGGCACCCGGCCCCGAGCTCCCCGCGCTTCCCTGTTTTGCTATCGAGATCCGAGGCCGGAGGCCTGGCAGGAGGCAGCGCGGGCAGGAGGCAGTGCAGGCAGGAGGGCTCGGCTCGGGGTAACCCCAGCGGGCGAGGGGAGCCCCTGCCAGCGCCCCGAGGAGGGGTCCCAGCCAGGGGTGGTGAAACGTGCCCGGACCCCCCGGCTGGTCCCCGCAGCACCGGCACGGCTGCCGTGAGGCATCTTGTGTAAAAACCCAACGCTGGCTGTAAAACTCCAAAAATGCCTTTGCAAGCAGGGCCGGGTGCTGGTGGGGGCTCCGGATCCCTCCCGCAGACAGCCCCAGCACCGTGCAGGGTGGTTCTGGGCAGCTCCCGGGCCAGAGCAGCAAAAGCTTCGCCCGCAGCCGGCTCCGAGCAAAGCTCCACAGTGGGTTCCCGTGCAGCCCCCGCCGCTGCCCGTCCTGTGATGCCCATCACACCAGCTTGCGCTCATCCCCCTTCCAGCGAACGCTCTTTCCTTGCAAGCAACCTCAAAAGCAAAGCTGGAAGCGGTGCGAGGTGGCCCTGTGGCTCTAGGCATGCCCTGCCCTGTCCCCAGTGTCCCCAGCCCCGCGGAGGGGAGGCCGGTTGTAGGAAACCGCGTACAAGAAGTGCCTTAACTGCTGCCTCCCTCCTGCCGGTGGCCAAACGGGCAAGACAAAAAAATAACCGCACGCCCAGCGCGAGGCAGGGGAGCCAGGCAGGAGCATCCCTCAACGGTGTGGATCGGGAGCCCGTTAGCCACCCGCCGCCGGTGGCGGCGAAGCCGACCATGTGCAGCCACCCTGCTGCATTGGGCGTCCTCCCCTTTCTTTGTGCCTGCAAGCAGGAACACAAGGGCTCTGCCCTCGGCCTCCCCGCCGGGCTGCGGGGCTCGAGGGGGCCCCGGCATCAGGGGAACTTCGTGATCCCCCTGCCCCAAGCAGCCCATTCCCCATGTCATATATACAGCATGGGAATGATGGGGGCTTTGGGGCCGGGAGGGGAAGGTGGGGTTTGCTACGCAGCCGCTGTGCTGCAAAATGAGCATTTACTATTGCCTGGAAAATGTGATTTCTCGCTGGGGCACCCCGGGAAGGGGATTTCCAGGGCGCTGCTGCAATGTCAGGAGCAAAGCGCTGCCTGGCAGGGGGCTGCGTGCCGGGGAAGGAGCCAGCTCGGGGGCTGCCTCCCCCTCTCCCGGCGGCAGGGTGGTCCCGGGGCCTGGCTCAGCCTTTGTCCGCGCTCCTGGCCACGCCGGGGTCGGGCTGCGAGCGAGCACAAAGCCGAGGCGGCTCCCGGTACAAGCCACAATCCCAAAGCAAAAGCAGGATTTGGCTGAGCCCCCCCCAGCCCCATCCCCTCCCCAGGCAGATGCTGTTATAACGCAGAACCGCAGGTACAAAAAAGCTGCTGGCGGCACGCTGCCGCCCTCGCCAGCCCTGGGGATGAGCCCCTGGCTCTCCCCGCCAGCGCATCCCTCCTCCCCAGGCAAAGGGTTGCCCTGGGGATTGGAGGCAATTCTTCCCCGGGAACCTGGCCGAGCGATTTTTTTTTTTTTTCTTACCTTTTGTGAGCTGAAGGACTGGGTCCAGTGGTACAAAACCAGTCTGTCCTGGGATTTGAGAGTGGGGTCTGTCGGGTCCTGGTTTTCTTCCCCTTCTGTGGATTTCCCCGCGTCGTTCTCCAGCGCCGAGATGGGCCACCAGCTGCAGTTGGTGGGAGTAACATTATTGGGAGTCGCCATGACAGCCTGCGAGCGAGCGGGGAGAGGGACGAGGAGCGCGCGGCGCTAGCCCAGCATCACATGGGCTCCCGCCAGCAGCATCACGCCCGGGGCAGCTCCGTCTCCCCGGCTGGGGTGGGCAGCGCAGGGCGGCGGGTGCCGGGGGGTCACAGGAGAGGACGGCGGCGGTGGCGTGGGTGAGATGGCAGCCCGTCCCTGCTCGTGGCGGGAGCGGAGTCTCCTGCTGCCTGCCTGCCTGCCAGCTCGGCAATCCGGGGCAGCTCCAACCCCTCCGCCTCCTTAGCAATATTTTGCAGCAGAGATTAAGATTTTTTTGACTGGTTTAGATAGGGCAGATATGTAATAAATAGCTACATGATGGATACTGGCTTTAAAATGTCTAGCGGGTGTCTTGCCTGCCTTGCAGCCTTCGAGAAAAGAAGCAGCAACGGCTCTTTAAAGGTATTCAGTGATTTTTGGAGAGCACAGATTAATTACTGCCTAACGGGGGTTCTGTAGCCTGTACCAGGGTAGAGCCCAGGAGCCCTTGCTGTGTGCCGGAGCCCTGAGGTGCCCGGCCAAACCGGACAGCCGTCCTGCGCCAAAGTGGCCACGGCTGGCGTTCGGTGCCAGAATTAGCAAGGTGTGTCGCCACTGCAAACCGGCCGGGTTTCTGCTGCTCCGAGCGCTGGGGCTTCCGTAGCTGCTGCTCGCCGGGGGCTGCAAGCATCGCCCAGAGGTTTGCAGGCAAAGGCCTGCAGGCAGCTGCCATGTTTCTAGCCACAGCGACCCGGACGCGTGAGCCTGGGCTTGATGACACTTGGCTTCGTCACGCTCCATCTCCGGCAATCTGGCAACCTGGAGATAATTTCCCACACGCGGGACTAGCTGCCGGTGCTGGGGGGTAAAACCAGCCCGGTGACGGGGGCCGTAGGGGCAAGCTGGGGAGAGGATGGAGGAGAGGGCTCAGCAGGCTTGGTCTTGGGGTGCGAGAGGGCTGGGGGTGCAAATGTGGCTCTTCCATGCGTTGTTCCCATCTCCACCCGTGCTGGAGCTGGTGAGGTTGCCCCAGGTGTGGAGGCAAACAGGGGAGGGTTTGGGAGAGCTGGGGAAACCGAGGCACACTTCGCCCAAGAGCACTGGGAGGGAGCAGGGCCAAACTGGTACCCAGCTGCACGGACATAGTGAAAGCAGCAATTTTCGGAAGGTTGGGAGGTGAAAATGAATCTTTTGGTGTTGTGATGTCCTGGGTGTGCAGGAGGGCGATGGCGGAGGGCTGAGGCTGGGAAGCGCGATGCCCTGCCCTACCTTCTCCCCGTCTTCTCCCCCGTACCAAAACCATCCCCCCTCCCCAGCCTGGGGCTCCCCAAGTGCTGTCGGAGACCCCGCGCCGGCCTCGGGGCCACCCACAGGGAAAGGCTCTCTGCTTTGGGGCTGCCAAGTCAGGGCGGCAGCCTGCGCTGCTGCAAACTGGGAGCAAACGGGGCTTCGAGCAGAGAGCGGGCCCCGTCGCGCAGCGCCGTCCTGCGCTCTGCGGGGAGCCCTCGCTGCCCAAGAAGCATCTTTTGGGGCCCCCTTCCCTGGAAAGGGACGCCTTTGGGGTTGGGAAAGGAAAGGAGCAGCTTGGCCAAGCAGAAGCGCTTCTCCCCTGCGGATAGCTGTCGAGAAAGCCCCATCTAGTGGTATATTTTGTGATGAATTAATGCTGCGCCGTTGGGAATAAAAAATGACAAGTCACTTCATCCCTCTGGGTCCTGCAGGTACACGGCACCTCTGGAAGCGCTTATTTATTCAGCTGGGTTTTGGCTTGCTGAACTGAGCAAGGCTCGAGCGGCAGGACTGGGGCCAGCCCCCCTTAGGGGCATCCTGACCTTGCGTGACCTTGAGATCGTCCCCAGCTCTGGTCCCCAGCCTTTCTGCTGCGAAAGGGGACGATGCTGGGCCGCCCCGCGGGATGCTGTGCGGCCGGACCCGGTGGCACCGGCAGAGCCCTGGCAGAAGGCGGTATCGGGGCAGGATTGCGAGTGCTGGAGGTTTTGGAACACACAATCCGGGGCGTCGCATCTCAGAGCTGGCGCAAACCTTACAGAGAGGAGAGAGCAGGCGGCCAGCGTCGGCCACGGGGCTTTGCAGCACAGAAGGACCTTCCCTGTTTTAGAAGGAGGGGGTGGAAATCGGGCCGGAGAATCAGCTCCATTGATTATTTTTTTTTTGTCTTTCCTGGTGGCCTGATTCAGCGTCTGCCAACGTAAAGCTTAGGTAGGACTGGGTTTGGCTTCTGTAAGGTGAGAAATAAATCTCATTGATCCAGAGTGCCCTTCTGCATCCCACTTCGGTTGAACTGGTCCTGAACCGAGGCAGGCAAGTAACTGGTAAAGTGCTGGGGGTGGGGGGAAGCCACTGCAAAAAACCCAGCCTGGATCTGCTGAGATAGGTGGGATCGGATTTGAGGAAAGTCCTGGGAGCGCTGCAAGCCCACCGGTGCTTTCTCAGGACATTTTAGACGTATTCTTCTGGAGATGGACTGGGGACACGTCCCCGAGCACCCATGGACAGAAAGACATTCCCCAGGCTTGCTGGGGCAGGCGCAGCAGCTGGTGGGGAGCAGCGAGGCGGCAGGGCTGTGCTCGGCACTGCTTGCACCAGGTCACGCCTGAGGCCAAGCGCCGGTGCTCAGCAAGGGAGCTGATGGTGCTGTGCCAGCATTCCCAGAGAAGACGCCATTTGCCAGTAACGCTTGAGGGTCCAGGTGAGCAGAAAGCGGGAGTCACTCAGTTGTCAGAGGAGTGAAGTGGGTGAGCTGAACTGGGAAGGCTTTGAAGGAACCGGTAAGTTTGGGCTTGGGTCCCCTCTTCGTTTCACCCAGAGGAGATGGTTTGAGCAAGGCGAGCGTCAGCAGCAACGTTTCGGTATGTTCGCTACGAGCCTGACTGATTGTTGCAATCAAGAACCCAAAATATCTGCCCTTCCTCTGCCGCAGGCGGCGCTGGACGTGCTTAAACGCGAGCACAGATGGTAAGTCAGGCAGAGTACGAAACCGCTGAGTTTTTCTCCCTTCTTTCCCCTTTCCTTCCCCCCTCGCTACCAGTGACTGCTGTCCACACAGGACACTGTGCCCGGAGAACCTGCTCCAGGCTCTTCCCTCCCGTCTGCCTTCTGCCAATTTGAATCCACTTCTCAGCCCCGAACCGCAGGACATGCCTTGGGCTACTTTAGCTTCCCTGATTTCCCCAATTCCCCGGCCACGGCCGGCCTGCTGCGCCCTGCCCCGCTCCACATCTGAGAACGCCCTTGTGCCCTTCCGACACCGCCGGTCACCGCTGGCTTTATGTAGAACCAGCTCGAAGGTCCGGACGCTGCCAGGGGTTTGCGCACGCTTTATTTGAGAGAAGCGGGATTGTGCGCGGCAGCAGGAACAGCCGCGCCGAGGTGAGCTGGAGCCGGGCGGCCGCACTGCGTTTCCCGGGAAAAGCGCCCGGCTGTGGCCCGTCGTCGTAGGGCTCCGGCTGCGGAGGGGCGGGGGGACGACCGACACCGGGTTTAAATACCTGTATTTGTGCACAGTCAAGATCTGTGCCCAGCCTGGCATGCGCGGGCTCCAGGCCAAGGCTCGCTGGGAGGCAGGGCCATCGTTGAAGGGTCTAACAGGGAGAACGCTGCATCCGGCAGCGACGCCTTCTGAGGATTTTAAAGAGGGCACAAAACCAAACCATGAACGGAAACATGAGCAGGCACCCTCTGCCGAAGCAGAAATAGCGTTGGAAAAACAGCAGCAGAGATAACTAGTACTAAATATTTACGTTTAAAAGCAAAGGACGCGTTATACCAGATTTAACGGAGGGAGAAATGCGAACTGTGCGTGTGGGTACGCAGGACGGTGCTGGGAGAGGAAGGCGAAGGGGAGGGACAGCAAAGTACCGACCCGAGAAAATGCAGAGATCGGTTAAATTTGAGAGTACGAGCCAGTATTGCACGCTGAATGCCTGCGTGACGCTTAAGAGCAACGTAAGTTTTAGTTGTATTTTTATGTTAACTTATTTGGATTAATTGAACTTTAAACCCGAACTTCCTGCATTCATAGTGTCAATTTGAGGGATGATTAGAACAGAACCCACAGACAGCAGTTATCACCTAGAGTGCCCGAGACGCCTCTAGCGGAGAGGACAAGGCCAACTGTCCACATCTGCCATCACCTATTTTTATACAACTGCTGGGACTCTTTGGCTTGCTGAAAAATCGCAGTATTTACTGACACACGGTTGTCAGCACGTGCAGACAGCTGACGCCCAACGCAGACGACTTTTTTTTTTAAAAAAAAAAAAAAAAGGTCTTGAGGGGAGATGAGTGTAAATCAAATTATTCAGTCTTTAATTTGCTGGGTTTTGACAAACATTTATTAATGCAAGTCTCGGCAACAAAATGTTTTATTTCAGTATTTCCAGCCAGAAGGAATGTTACAGCTCGACGCCGCAGAGCCGCTACGATACACGCTTCTTGTTTACCCTATTTCCGCGCTGCTTTGTGCCTCGAACATACTCAGAAACGAGCTGTATAGACGGCTCCGCCATCTCCGCTTCTGAGACAGCACGGCCCAAAAAAACTGTTAGCCTGCTTCACTCCCCCCTAACTAATTCCATCTGTAAAGCACAAATAACAAAATATATTTTTGCTTCTAAGAGCTTTACTTATCTGCAGAAAAATAGAACTGCTTAAGGGTGAGCTAGTTAGATTATGAAAGGGTCCAAGCACACACCCGCACATTCCGGACCTCCCAACAAATTTGCGAGGAGGAAGCACTCACAATTTGATCCAACTAAAAAGGAGCCCGATGTAGTGTTCCAGGGAAGGAGCTCCGTCCTATCCACAGTACCGACTGCCGCCTTCTCCCCTCTAGAGCAGGAGGAGGAGGGCAGAGCCGTAGCTATGAAACATTTCTCTAAGTAGTGAGACACGCTAAGAATGAGCCTTCCAAACACCCGGAAACATAATGAAAACCGCGTACAGAGCTTGAACATCCACAG